ATAAGAACCTTCTTGCTCTCAATCTCGTTCATTCTCTGTTTAATTTTAAGTTCATCGTTTTCTTAATTATCGTTGTGCGGTTCTGCAGATAGCCGGTTCCTCTGGAAACTTAGGGTTTATCCGAAGTTTCCTTATTTACGATTTATTGACAGTAGGTGAATTTCGGTTCCCACAATTTGTCATCACGAGAATCAATTTCAAAATCTTTAGAAAAATAAGTTGGTCCATCTAAACATCTTATTATATAAAGTATAGTTCTCTCACTCCTTATCAATCCACGTCATCAAATATTGTTACCACATATTGACACGTATTGTTTTTCATATAATGCGTTTCACTTTTTATGGGCTATCTATATACATATAGTGGCCTCTGTGTTTTAACCATTAAACTCAGCCCAATGGAGAGCCAAGATCATCGTTTTCACACAAAAGCGACACCGAAACCAAATTTTAGGGTTCATGTTTTTCCTCCTTTTTTTTGTGCAACGGTTCACGTTCTTTCTCGATCTCTGAAACCAGTAGTTTCTTCTTTGTTCTCTGATATGAACAATGGATTGCTAGATGTTAAATCGACGTGAAGAATCTTCAAACGAGGCGTATAGCCTTCTATTCTAATCAATGGAAACGTTCCACTTATTGATTCATCGTCTTTATCAAACTTCGTTACTCCACCAACCCATGCCAGCATGATATGACATTGAATGCAGCGTATCCCTCTGCAAGACGGTGCCTCCACTCCTATAAAAAGTAAGCCCTCTTCCCTTGAACATTACACTCTCCACTCTGGAAAACAACAAAGAATACTTGATTTCTGTAAAATGGCTAATTCAGCAATCCTTCTCTCTGGTTTGAAGTCAGGTCGTGTGTTCTTCACTTAAGTTGAGACTGCTCAGTTTCTGGGAAGCCATGAATATCAAACGCCAACGCCGTGGCGAACTGATGGGGGTGGATATGTTCTTACTGGACTCAAGGTATTCTTTGTTCATGTTAAACTTCAAATCTTTATTCAAGTCATGTTCTTAGTTAGTGTTTCTGTTCTTAAACTCATGTTCACATATCCCTTAAACTTCAGATCTTTGTAAAGGTGATTCTGTTATTAACCTCATGTTCATAGTAATATACTAATATTAAACTCATGTTCATAGGATACGCGATTCTGTTATTTTACGCAGGAACCTTTTTACTTCATAGGAAGTTCTGACCCAGGAATTTGCGTCATCAACCTCTTTTGCTGGTGCAGTCGCTTCAATAGTTCAAGTACTTAGAGCTGGAACCATCGAAGCAAGAGAAAACTAACCAGTGACACTCTTTTGACTTCCGTGAGCTTATGAGAACAAGATCATAATAGGCTGTTTGATGCCTGCTGTAGTGGATCTTCTCGAGAATGGGACCCCGACAGCAGCTGCGACAGCATTGTTCAGTCTCTGGATTGATCAGAGAAATAAAGGCAGAAATATTATAGCTGGTATAGTAACTGCATTGGTTAAGATGCTAAGCTTTCACAATACTCTCGGACCCATGAAAAGACTGATGGTATGTGTTTGATTGTAATGAATGTTACTTGGATTTGTTCTTTTGGGAGCCTGTGTAGATGCTCACTCTGTTAACAATATCAGACTCATTCTGCATTTTTTTTTAATTTTTATTGTTAGATGCTCACTCTGTTAGAAGTAAGAGACGCCGAACTAAGGGGGAGAGGTGATGTGGTTCCCGCTGCTTGCACAGAGCCAATAGGATTGACAAATCCCTAAGTTTCAAAAGGAATAGACGGCAAAACCTTCTGGCTCAGAAAGAAGGTCAAAACCACTCAAGGTTGTAAGGTCTCAGTTAAAGAATAATAAGATACTCGAGTCAAAAAGCCGGTGAGGTTTGGTGTTGATGATCATGAACTTGAAGTCTTTGGAAGAAAGAGAGGGTTTGAATACTTATGAAGGGGAGCTGGAAGTTGTGAGATTGAGATCAAGATGGCGGAGAAAAAAAGCTCTAACCAAGGCTATCAACTAATTGGGAAAATGGCAGCGTTTAGAATTTCATTTCATCAGCCTCAAGTCGATGTGGTTGTGGTTGCTTACAGCGATGGGCGCAAGGAAATGGTTGTTGGTTATCCTAGACTAAGTTACATTTCAAGCCTTTTAATGGCACACATTTTTCCTTTAAATTTGGTTTAGACATTTTTGCTTCTGCAGTTTTGTTTCAGAGTTTTGTGTTGTTTATGGAGCCTTTTAATGGCACACATTTATCCTATTAATTTGGTTTGGACATTTTTGCTTCTGTCGTTTTGTTTCAGAGTTTTGTGTTGTTTATGGAGAGTTAGAAACATCTCTATATTTAAATCATTCAGGAGATCAAAAATCACAATAAATTTCAATTCTCATATTTTAACCAGTAACCCATCATGTATCTCAGTGTATATAGTTTGACATTATCTGGGAAGATACTATTATTTGTCAACGTCTATCCCGTACAAATGTTAAGAAAAAACAATAAGACAACACAATAAATTAAAGATCCCAAATGAAAGATATGCAAGCCACACTTCTTCCTTAACAGCCTCAACATTAATTGTAACAATAGATATTAGATACTGACAAACATGTTTATGTATAAATAGTAATGTATTTATTTATATATTTTAAAATATTTTAGTTATAATATATATATCTTGCAAAGCATTGATTTTTAAAATAATATATAAATAAATAAGAAAAAGAAAAAATTTCATGAAACAGATATGTAAATGAGATAAAAATTACTTCATTTTACTTATTATTTATAAGAATTCAATCGACCTAAGTATTTTACAAATTCATTTTACTTATTCTATGTTTTAAACCAAAATAAACCTTGAAAAAGTTAAATAATTTTATTTTAAAATTTAATAATAACTAGAAAACTAATCATATAATTACTAAAATGAATATTAAATAAATAATTAAACTATTATGAAAATGCAATTAAAAAATATTATTCGCCCGCCCGTAGGGCGGGTTTACCCTAGTATAGTATATTTTTAATTAATCTAATCATATAATTAATTATTGATATAAAAATATTAGTAATTATTTCCTTAAATAAACATAACGAAGTACCTAATCAGATCAAAATATATATATGATTATTAATGATTTTTAAATAATAAATATTTGATAATAATTTATACATCCTATATCATTTTTGTTTTATATTAACATTATTAAAATAAATTAGACAATCAAATTAACCAAATAATAAAAATAACATTTTTCTATATATGTTATATTTTGACTTTTAGAAAACGATTATAAATTAATAAAATAAAATAAAAAATCTCACTTTGAAAATTTTTGATCAATGGTTTAATTTTAATTTATAACAAGATACAAATATTCATAAAAATAATAAGTAACCTTTCTTTTTAATAAATATTATATATATAAATATGTTTTAAATTAAATTATGTATTATATAAAATGTATAGATATTTGTGTTTCAAAATTTTCAATGAATTTGTTAATATTATTATAGATTAATAAAAATATTAAAAGTTCCATCTTTAAAATTTTGCCATCAATGTTTTAACATTTTTTGTTATAAAAATAAAAATAATCATAAACCATGTGAATAGAAAAATTTATAGTCATATTGAAAATAATACTATACATCGATATTCATATCCTTTATATTTAACTATAAACAATATAAAATATATAAATTATTATTTCAGTTTATTTACCATAACATAATTTTTAACGATTATTTTGATTTATATCTCCGCACCAATTTAGTTATATATATATATATATGTAATAGTCTTATCCTCTCATTAATTTAATATAAATAATAAATTGTAAATAAACAATAATACATAAAGCTGTATATATATACAATAATAATCCCGCGCAAAGCGCTCAAGAACCCAAAAACAAATATCTAAAGCTAAAAGAAAAAAGAAAAAATTGCACAGGAAAAAAGTACACCAAATGATTTTTAACACTGGAAAGTAAAATTCAGGATCGACATGAAAGTGATGAAGGTAATAGCAGACCAACCAGCATGATGGAAAAATATAAAGAATTAAAACCAAAAAGGCTTAGAATGAATGAGAAGTATTAAGAAACCCATGTTACGCTTTCTATTTTTTTTTTGAAAAATAATGAGAGCCAACAGTTATAGTCTCAGCCAATTATAAAACTTTTCTGTTAAAAAATTAATAACAACAGACATATGTTATACTTTACGCTGATTAATTAATAACTAATATTGATAAAGATTGCTATTTGTATTTATTAACTAATTAATTATATATTTAATATTTCATTAAGGGTATTAGGTATTACGTTATTAACGCTCTAACTTTCAACGTGAGATTTCAAATACGAAAAAACAATTAAAAAAATCACTTTGCAAATAATAGTATAAATTCATTACACCAACATTATATATTGGCTATATTAATAAATGTTAAAACTTGTAAAATTTTAGAATACAGTCTTATATGTTTCTCTGACATTTATTTCCTCAGGTGGCTTCACTTATTATACAAACTTGTTTTGGAAAAAAATCATAGCAATTATGCTGCATATGAATTTTAAACTTCAAAATGTATTAATTAAATCCTTTTCTATATATGTCTCTCCAATCAATAACTGTTTCAAACATAAGCACAGGAGATTCAGAAATCCTAGGCATAGATTTTAACTCATCCACCATCGTCTTCTCCTTACCTTCAAGAATACATTTTGATCTTATGGAAATTGCAGCTCTTTTTAAACATGTAGAGTTGCCAAAGATGTATTTCACTAGTTCTTTTTCTTCGATTCTTCCTCCATATTCGTTCCATTCAAAAATTTCGAGATTTGTTAACAAGCATTTAGGAACAGAGCCTGGATGGTTCCATGAAATTGGGAAATCATCAGCTAGATCCATCTGGTAAGATACACGAGAGATCAACACTTCTACTTCAGTTTTTAATCAAACCAAACTGCATTAGTTTATTTTAAGTAAGAGAGGAGAACGAACCAGGTCAATAAGAAGTACTTTCAGTTTTGGAGAATTTTGAACTAAAATCATAAGTGGGTTCAACCAGTCAAACCCATATGGTTGTAGCCTACACTCTATAAGCTGAGAGAAGTTAATGGTGGTGAAACACCCAACCTGAAATAAACAAATTAACTACAAAGGTGGGCATTGGAGATTGAGAGAAACGAGTATTAGAATTAATAATCATTAAGTACCGTTGCACTGTTCAAAAATACATCGAGACGTATCACGGCGGAAAGAAATCTCCTAATGTTATAACCAAGATAACATAAAACTTTTATACTTGCTTTGTCAAGGAAACACTTGTTTTCAATCAAGAAAGAATGTCCTGAATAATCACAAATGATGGCTGTCTTCAAAATAGGAGAATTAATAACCAAAGACCCCTTACTATCTCCAAAATCTTCTTTATAATCGTTCACATATACCAAGGTCTCTAGAGAAGATATTTTTACATTGAAATTTGTTACATTGTCTTCGTTACTTCGTACCACATATAAGTATTTGAGAACAGGACAACTTGATAAGAGTCCAGCAACAGAATTTTCGTCTTTAAACACAATAGAGAAAAGCCGAAGATGAGTGAGGGATGGAAGGCAAGATGGAGTTACATTTTCCACGATAATCTTTTCGGAAAGAGTCAATGAGACTAATGTATCACATGTGTAAAGACTACTAGGTAAGTTTATAGGATTTGCAGACCAGTTGAGGGTAAATATTAGTACCCGTATTTTGCGATAAACAGCGTTTGCAATCCATTTTCCTACATCAGCATCAACTGGACATCCTGGACCAAGTTCTATAAAAAGATTTTGTAATACAGGTGCTTTGTGGAGTTGCATTGACTTATCAAGAAAATACCAAACGCTTTTGCATTCACCATCAATAACTCCGTCGCTCTCTTCGTAATCTAGTATTGGTAGCATCGTCCAAATAGACCGCCACCGTTTTGACAAAATCATAGTAGCAACTGCATCTTTTGTAGGGACATGCAACAATATTTGCACAAGCAGATCGTCGGGTAAATTATTAATCATGTTTGTACCTTCAATTCTCAAATAACCTAGTTTTAAGAATTACTTATACACCATATAAAATGTCTCGGCATTATATAACAATACTTTAGCAACAAGTATTAAAACTGAAAGATTTTTTTCCAGAATGGATATTTTCTATTTATTTATGTGTATATTATCTAAGAGGAAGAAATAAGTAAATATTTAATACATAGATCTTAAAATATTTAATACAACTAAGAGGAAGAAATAAGTAAATATTAGTCTTAACATTTTCCAATCAAAATAATAAGCTAAGTAATTATAATCTGAGAGAAAGAGAGAAATAAATATAAATTTTAATACTTTCCAAAGTAAACAATAATTTAATTTCAAAAAAATTCAGAAGTTAATATATAGCTGTGTATATATTTACACACTTTATATATATATATATATATATATATATATATATATATATATATATATATGTACAAAATCACATAAAATATATCAGTTAATAACACATGTATTTCATTCTATTAATTCAAATTTTAATAATTTATAACTTATTTTAAACTGTGAAATTAATTAAGTTTCCAAACTTATAAGATTTTATTCTATTAGATTATATGTAAATATTGCAATACTTTCTGATATATATTATACATACAGGTTCAAAGTATATATTAAGACTATGTTAAATGAACATGTATTTCCTTCCATTGGTACAAAATTAAATAATTTAGAAAGTTATATGAAACTTAGAACTTAATTATTTTTCAAAAACTATTAGATTTATAATTTTGATAAACTATTTTACGTTTTCCTTATCTTTAGTACTTTTTCTTTTAAAAAGTATAAAAGGAAAAATATTTGAAAGAATTATGTATTATACCTCACTTTGAAGGGACGTTGTGGAATCAGTACCGTACGAAAGGAAATTATTGTGACTAGTCCCATTATTTGAAAATACCAGCGATACCCTCAGAATTGGCAAGCTAATGGCAATGATACGAAGTGGCAGGTTAACGGAACAGCTTTAAATGAGAGTGCATGGCAAGCTAATGACAATGATACGAAACGACATGTTACCGGCACGGCTTCAAATGGCAAGCTAAGGGCAATAATCCTGAACTTCCGTTTAATAACAAGGAATTTCTTCACTTTGTTGCTCTTTTAAACATTCTCTATGTCATGGTCAAATTTTTTTTATCACTTTGTTGCTCAAACTGTTGTATCACTTTGTGTGTATTTGTGAGTAGGCTCATATAACAAATAGAAAAAAAAACTGTCTCAGATTTTCAAGATAAATACATCCTATGGGTTATTAGAGACAGAGAGATGACAGAAGATTTTTAAAAATATGATTTGAGCTAGAATGGTGTCTTCATGGGTTATTAAAGAGATAAAGTCTTCATTTCATCAGATGGGCTTAATCCCTCTAGTCACATTATTGTTTAAATGGCAAAAGTAAACAGAGAATAAAAATCTCGACTACAACGTGTATCCATCTGAATACTATGAGAAATAGGCTCAATCCCTCTAATGGACCCAAGTAAACAGATTTTTTGGATGTTAAATATAAACAGCAAAAGTGAGAAATCATCTGGAATCTCTATCGTGTATATCCGCAATGAAATCCCTAATTTTAACTGTTCTAGGGTTTTGAAAGGAAGTGATATGCTCAAATTAACCTTCAAGTTACTCTCTCAAATAAAAGGTTTGATGTAGTACTTGAGGACCGAATCCAGATAGACCAACTATTACACTTTATTCCTATGGGATCAATATCTAACTAAAACAATATGGGGGGGGGTTCGTAGTTTTGAGGTAACATAAATAACAAGTAACACGAATTGAATTAGGTTTCAGACAATTGTTCAATTAAAACAATATGGGGGGGGGGTTTGAATTTTGATCGGGTGTTAAACAAGTGTGAGCCAAACAATTATTCAAGTTCAATTTGGCACAAGACTAGAACTCGAACACTACAAGTATATCAGCCAACTGTCATGGAGCTTCACCTTTTGTCAATCGATCTCAGCACCTAAAGTGTCGTTTGGACTGAGACGCGGTGACAAACATTAAGTACAAGTCTGATATGTTCACTAAACACCCTAACATCTACATTCGCTGGCTAGGGATGCAATGCTCATTCATTCAATGTCTAGCAATCTATAACACTTTTTATGAATAGATTAAGCTCAGATTCATACACTAAATCAGTAGTTTAGCATAAGCAGTAAGAGCTGCAATGAATGAAGACAACTAAAATATCAACATATCTATGTTTAGCTCAAGATCTTACACCCTAACACCCTAAGCTAACAAGATCTACTACTCAGCCATGGCAAAGGAAAACACAAGCAATACTGAATAATAATGCATAATAATAACAGAAGCAAAGAGAGGGTTCAGGAGGTTCTTCTCTTAATCGAGAGAGTTGGCCTTCTCCCTTTACAAACTAGAAAATCCCCGCAATGCAGTTTCTGTGTCTGGTTTTTGTGTAGAAAATAACGTAGAATCTCAAAAGAAAGAGAAAAGGAAGATATATCCAGGCCAGATGCGGCTCGGAGAGGAAAATAGGGAGATTAGGGAAAATCCCAAAATAATAAGGGTTTCCATAAAAATCTCTGCCGCAGGAACAGGCACTCGGGTTGCTCCGCTCGATCAGAGCAGTCACTTCGGACTGTTCAGCGTGAAATCACCAATTTGCACTGTTTTCTGCTTCTTTCGTTCCAACTAGTCCATCTCCCACCTAGTTCAACTCCACACATGTAATGACTTAAAAATAACTAAAAAGACTAGATAAAGACTCAGATACAATTTAGAAAACATTGTTAGAATATGCTAAAAACACCATATATCAATTCCCCAGACTTAGATCCTTGTTTGTCCTCACAATGTCAAGTATCAAGAACAAGGATAAAGGTTTAAAAGTGTGGGAACTCTCTTATGGTTCAGCAACCATACTTTAACCATGAAACTCTGAACAATACAACTAGACATACTAGGACGACACACCCTTACCAGAACCCCACTGACTACTGTTCAAGTCGGCTCCATACTCTATATCTCAAACCTGCAAAAGTCATACTTTCCAGAAAACTCCTTACATTCATTTAAGAGCAGTGTGAGCCTCTTGTCACAGGCATTATTCAGGGTAGGCGGTCTAGGAATGAAACAAGATTTTTAGTGTTAAGGTGGAGATAATCAGTGCATAAGGGTTACCATTTCTTTGTAGAGGATGTAGGATATCACGCAAAATTGCAAGAGAGGATGGATCCATTGATCTCCACAAACCCCACTCGTTTTTCTCTGCAGAGCAGTCGCTTCTGGTTCCTCTTTTCTCAGACTGGTTGCTCCCCTTTTCCAGATCACCCTTTTCCACACTGTTCACTCCCACCTCAACTCTCGTTGCTCTGACCAACCCGGGGCACTGTTTTCCTTTTCTTTCTTCTCCCTCTCATCATCCTTTTGAACTTCTGAATTTTAATTTTTTTTTTGAATAGATGAGAAGTGTTCATATGGTGATGATGACGAGAAGGAGGTAATTACATATGGTGCCTCTGGAGGTTCTGATTTCAGCTTTCCCTTCACCATTTTGTTTTTCTGTTCGGACCACCCTACTGATTGCTCTCTTCTTTTCGGATCATGCACGCCCTGCTCTGAAGTGTATTATGTAAGCAAAACGAGTGCAGGTTGTGTTGATCCTTTTCTCTCCAGCTCTTTTGCACATATCTGCACATATGACACTTAAAAATAGAATGCATGAAGGCGGAACAATGGTCTAAAGGTTCATGGTGGAAACTAGCTAAGAATGAGCTAGCCACTCAGGATCAGCAAGATGGATAGAAAGAATTAAGAAGTCCTGAGTGTAACCTCGTTTCCCTAATCTAATGCCCATAACAAGAAGAATGTCAGTCAAGATTAGGTTCAAGTTAAATGGAGTTATAGTCTTTCAGAGTAACCTCTACAAGCCGAAATTTTCTGGAGAGTAAGGTGAGATAAAGTCAGGGTGTTCCAGGTCCAAATGTGTGTCTTTCGTCACTGGTAAGGTCACTGAATAAGATAACTTAAAGCATGAGGTGGTTAGTGACTATCAAAACAAGGTCCTAATCCTCACAAGTTTTGACTCAATGAAAACATCAAAATGACTCAAGACTGACTCAAACATAAAAGCAAAAAGAAATAAACGAGTTAGTAAACGACAAAGACCCTCCCCCAGACTTGCTTCACAACGTCTCGGTGTGGAAATTAATCAGAGAGGAGGTTTAAACATATTTTTTTTTGTTCAAGATGCTTACCTGCGCGGATCAGCTGCTCCGAATGAGAGCAGCCACCTGCTTCCTCCCGTCAAGGATGCTCCGAAATGAGAGCAACCACCTTCTTGCTCCCATCAATAATATTGGATTTTCTGATTTATGACCTGAGATTCAAAAAAATAAAACCAAAAACAAGTAAAAAGAAAATCCTAATGTTATTGACACTCACCAGTGGGTTGCCTCCTACCAAACGCTTGGTTTAATTCACTAGCTTGACTTGGTGATGGGGATCAGTCTAGTTGAGCATGGAGGCCTGTTCCAAGACAAGCTCTACAATCAGACATGTTCAGCTTCAAGACTCCTCTCAACAACCCTTCCACAGCGGCTTCCCCTTTCTCCTTCAGCTCATGTATGAGAATTGCTCTGACTTTAGAGAATGGTTTGGAGGTACCCTTGCACTTTACCTCATACTCAATGGAGTTCTCATCACCCTTGA